ATCTATGGGCAGAAGCGGCAGATACAGCGACAAAATTGGACACAGCACTTGTCTATCAACGTGGTGAACAAAGTTCACATCAAAAATTCTGGAAACGAGAAGCTAGATTTGCGAGACACTTGAGAACATTCGGTGAAATGGCAGTGATCAAGGTACACACAAAGATCAAGGGCAAACTGAAAGACCGTGGACGAACAGTCATGTTTGTGGGATATGCTGATAACTCCAGTGTAGACACTTACAAATTCTACGACCCAAAGACAAAGCGAATCAGTTCAAGTAGAGATGTGTCATGGTTGAACAAAAGCTATGGAGATTGGAAGGGAATCAAGAAAACTAACACACTACGATTGACACAGGAGCTCCTATTGGAAACCGCAAATGACAATGATATTGTACAAGCACCGACAACTCAAGCAAACGACGCAAATACAACAACACAAGAAACGGGACCGACTCCAACAGCACCAACAGCTACGGAAAGGGCAACGATGCCAGCAGTGCAATTGGACTCGGGCGCAGATCCACAAAGAGTTACACACTCTGCGACAACCCAACAACCGGCAAAAACAGCACCAACTCCCAGATGGCAGAGAGATTTACAAACATGGGATATGAACCGACATGGGACCCAACCTATACTTCGTACCAGGACACAAACAAGATTGGCAACTGCAAATTCCGAATCAGGAAGGGAGACAGCAACTCGTGTTCGAACAACAGAAGAGCCAACGGAAGAAGAAGAAATCGATTTCACTGGGGATCAACGTGGACCATTATTCAACGAAAACGATGTTGCAAACATGATGATGAATCCGGATTTACAGTGGCCAGATCTAGCACTACAAGTGACAGAAAAAATGATGAAAAATATTATGGAAAACAAAGAAATCGAAGAAACCAACTACAAAGAACCAAAGAACTTCCAAGAAGCATGGAACCATCCAGACAAATATCAACGGGACAAATGGCGAGAAGCGATCAGAAAGGAATTTCGCGACATGATACGCCGTGGAGTTTGGCGAAAAATGAAACGAAGAGATCTACCATATGGAAGAAGATGCATCAAATGCAAATGGGTATTCAAGATCAAACGAAATGGAGTGTTTCGATCAAGACTTGTTGCATGCGGATACTCACAAAATCCTGGAGTTGATTTCACAGAACACTTTGCTCCAGTTATCAATGACATCACATGGAGAATACTACTTGTTGCAATGATGATTTGGAAACTTGACGCTTGGCTAATTGACATGGAGACAGCCTTTCTACATGGAGAATTTGATGAAGGAGAACAAATATTCATGAATCTGCCTGTTGGATACGATCTTGTGGATTCATCAATTGATATGAGTGAAGATTGTATTGAATTAATGAAAACCGCATATGGGACTGTGCAAGGAGCGCGACAATGGTGGAAAAAGTTTGTGTCGATCTTGAAAGATATTGGATTCGAAGGTGGAGAAGCAGATCCTTGTTTGATGCATTGGAACAGTGAACATGGGATTGTTTTCATTGGCTTATATGTTGACGACTGTCTTTGCATTGGAAAACCTGAAGCATTGGAGCTAGTTGAGGCAAAACTGAAGGAGAAAGGACTGACTCTGAAAACCGAAAAGACCCTGAAAGATTATTTGAGCTGCGACGTCAGCTTCAACGAAGATCGCACGAAAGCAGTATTACGTCAACCACACTTGTTGAAGACATTGGAAGAGGATTTTGGAGAAATGGTACGAAACATGCCTAAATACAAGACACCTGGAACGCCAGGACAAGGTCTCGTTCGCAGTGAAGAAGGTGTAACCGTGACACCTGAAGAACAGAAGCAATTTCGAAGTGGAACTGGAAAGTTGCTCTATCTTGTGAAGCATACAAGACCTGATATCGCAAATGCAGTGAGAGAACTATCAAAGGTACTTGATTCGACAACACCAAGAGCAATGAAAGAGATGAAGAGGATCATCAAGCATGTATTGGATACGAAAGGACTTGGATTGAAAATTGAACCAGTGATTGGATCTAAAGGTTTACTATGGAACGTTGTTGCGTTTTCTGACAGTGATTATGCAGGAGACCCAGATTCAAGAAAATCAGTGAGTGGTTTTATTGTTTATCTATGTGGAGTTCCAATCTGTTGGAGAAGCAAAGCGCAACGAACAGTGACTTTGAGCAGCGCAGAAGCAGAGTGGATTGCCTTGAGTGAAGTGGCAAAAGAAGTATTATTTATTGCGCAGATCCTGGAAACCATGGGAGTGAAAGTCGAATATCCGATTGTTATTCGAGTTGATAATACCGCGGCAATTTTTATGGCGACAAATGTCACAACGAACCAGAGAACACGACACGTGGACATTCGCACAAAATTCGTAACACAATACACTGGACCGGATGGTATTTTGAAGATTCTATTTGTCAAAGGAACTGATAATGAATCTGACATCATGACAAAGAATGTAACTGGAAACCTACATGAGAAACACATCCCAAAGATGATGACAAATGTCGACGAAGGAACTACAAAATAGGAAGGGTGTTGAAGATGTATTTTGAGATATTTGGAGATTGGAGAATGCGTAGCAGAAACACGAAACGAGGCATTAGACAATGGGTCATCTTGTGTAAGATTGAACAGTGCCTGACAATAATGTGAGAAGTATTGACAAGATCAAAGCAAGATCAATACATAAGGAGAAGTGAGTTGAATGTAGTCATGGCAAGATACCAGATGCTGTGCATGACTGAGAAGCAAGACTAGAAAATAGAGTAAGGAATAATTTAGCTCACAATTGCAAGACCGATAGATTTTTACTTCTAGGGAGATTCCAACAAGGACAGTGGAAAGCTACGTACCAAACAGGTTGTGAAAGAAGTTGGTGAATGAGCTGCAGCTCAGTTGCAGCTCATTCCTTTTGAAAAGACTGCTCTTTATTTGACAGAGGGAATTTGAAGTCTAGGAATAGATCGTTATTAAGATTAGGAAAGCACACGGCTCTTCTACCTGTAACACCCATCATTATGACCATTACAGACTTCACCGTGCGCAAAAAGAGCTACCGCTACCTCACCACTCAGGGGAGCTACCCAAACCATGATTCCAAGGCGGTCCTCAATGCCTTTGATCCTACCAAAGACCTTCAGTTGCAAGATCTAAACAGCCTTGTCAAAAAGGGTGTACAAGGAGGCCCCGGCCTGTTACACGGGATGGCCAAAGGAACAGGTGAACAACTTTAATTTTTGGCATTGCCCAATGATTAGGTACACAACGGTTGGCGAAAAGAAAGAGCAGCATTTTGATAAATTGGCTGGACCATGACGTTCTGGAGAACGGGAGCGACCCACTGGCATTCTCTTGGCCGGCAAAGGCCTTCTCAAAAACCCATCTGGTTAAGGTTCCAAAGTTGGAGGCGTGGATGATAAACGAGGAGCTCGAGCAGGATTGCTCCAAGTTGTTTGTGATGGAGAATATCACCGACAAAGATCCTGAGACGGCTTACGACCTACTGGTCACACCCAAGCGAATGCCCATTCCCAAGGAGATCTTGGATATCACTTGGGACGGATCGTACGCACCCAAAGTCTTGCAATTGGTGATTGACAGAATCAAGATTCTCGCCAACAGCGAGGAGCCTGAAAAAATTTCGGAAGTGCAGGAGAAGTTCCGGCACTTTGTGGACCATTGGCGCATGGCAAAAACGGTTGTCGGGAGAGATCAGCTTTCAAAGAACGTCGGAGAACCTGCTGTTCTCACTGCGGATTGGACTTGGAGGACTCAACCGGAGATTCCACCGACAAGACCTACGAACTGCTCACCAAGACCTTGGCGGCCATCGAGGAGAGTAATAAGACGACCAAGACCTCCGTGGAATCGCTTTTGGAGGTAGTGGTAGCGGGTATCCAGGGACAAGCATCGGACAAGGCGCCCCCAAATACATTGGAAAAGAAGTGGCCCACAAGGCTCTCCTACCTGAAGAGAGTTGCTGGTACTACAACCTCAGCTCAGCTTCCCACCCTCTGGCACGAGCTAGCAAAGTGTAAGAAGCACGAATCAATTGGAATTGTGCAGTCCCTGCTGGACAATGAGGCCGAAAATCTGAACCTCAATCTGGAATTCATCGTTTCAGCCCGTTAATCAAGAGCCTGGTGGAATTGGAATTTTGTTCGTGCGGCGACGTTGAAAAGGGTTTGAACGTGTTTAACAGTGTCTGTTTCCAGCACTACAAAAATGCAAACACGATCAACAATTACAACAAGAGCGATTATTGGTTGACGGGCAAAAAGACGACCGCTTCAATGAAGGATCATCAAGCCCACGACAAGATCAAGCATGCTATCTTCCCATAGGATTCCATGCAGTTCTGTGAGATGGTCAATGGCATGCGGGTATTCTACCGTGTAGTGTTTGGGAAAAATCATCCACTGACAGCCGTGTACAAAAGGTTTGCAAAGAATGTGGATTCAATTGCACAAAAGATGGGAGTGTCCTAGCAGGAGCGAGCACTCAAGAGATTTCTCTTTGGAATCTATTCCCGAATTGATCATTACTTTGAGCGCTTGGTAAGATCCGGCACAAACGCCGAAGAGAACCTACACGACTTGGGCACCTACATGGAGACATGCTACCATGGAGGAAGCCTACCAGAGTCGAACTTGTTTGTTGTTGCCAAGGACACTGGCGGACATGGTGGAACAGGAGACAAGACTGAGAGTCAGCTGAAGAGAGAGAAGGAAAGGGCCTGACATGAATGAAGAGCATCGCTACCCGGAAGAACTACTACTGAGCTAATCAAACAGACAGGCAAACAGCCTCCAAAGCACGCCAACGGCAAGGAACTGTGCCTCATTTGGCACAGAAAGGGCGAATGCAAGGAGCACTGTGAACGCAAGCATTCTATATAAATAAGAATAACTGAGATAGAGGCCGGGAATCATCGGATTCTTGCAGGCCATCTCAATCGGACCCACTCTCGTTACAATCTACTTTAATTGGAGGTAGTGCTAATACTATAGGTGAGCTGGTTGCGTTGGCAAATGAAACTTATTTAAAACACGGTTGGCAAGTCACTGCTCGTTTATTCCGTTCAGATGATGCTGCACCAGACATTGATAAGCTTCCGCACCCTACCGCACCAATGCTACACCAAGTAATGAAAAATGGGGCTCCTGTGGTGGTTCATTTGGAGCCATGGAGCCAGAGCCAACTCGACATGCGAGTCGCTCAGGGCTGTCACTCATCAGCAAACGAATTCAAAGAGTTTCTGATGGAGGAGTTTTTGGATTTTGGCCATACAACGCCGTCAAGGACGAGAAAGGACTTCGCCTTTCTCCAATTGGCTGGGTCGCCCGGAAGGTGCTGACTTGTTTTGGAGGATGGTAGCCTTAGCTTGGTCCGGAATTTGGTGCCAAGTGCGACGGGCGTGGTCATCCAACTGTTGCCATGTGGCATTGTCAAGTTGAGGACGGGTTGTACAATAGGACGAGGCTTGGAAGGCCTCAATAGTTTGCCTATTAACATCTAGATCAAAATCTTGGGTGTAATAGTCGTCCATATTATCGTTATGTGGGCTAAAAATGTCATGAAAGAGAGCTTTGTGTGTAGCAGGTACAACAGCTTGTTCGTTCATAGCCATGTCATGGGCCATGGCGGCAGATGTGACAAGTTCAACATACTGAGGGTAAGTCAGTGACTGACCGGTTTGCGCGGATAAGAGCTTGGAAGAGGTCTTAATCTCACAAAGATACGGTGTCTGTTGAATGGCGTTCGCAAGCAGGAACTGGGAGTTGGCCATTTTATCACTAGCAATCTCGTTATAGAGGCGTGCTTGTTCAAGCCAATGAAGAACAAAAGCGTAGTGTTTGCCAGGCCAGTCCGACTTGACGAGTTTCTTGGTAGTCAACCAAGTCATCAGGGAAGAAGCTTGCGTGTCGGCTGCGACCGAGGTTGTACAATGATCGTTGAGTTTGGCCCAAATTTGTTGAGCATCGTACGTCAGCTGATACTTTTGTACCAGAGATTTACCAGTGTTGGTCTGCAGCTTGGTGACAAAGATGTCGTACATGAAGGCCTGCTGTTTGTCAAAGAGAGTTTTGTTGTCCGCAGAGGCAGGAACATAGGAGTGATCCAGAACGTTCAGTGTGTTATGAACACGTGTGGTGGAACGAAAAGATTGATTGAAGATGTCCCATTCTGAGTCAGTATTCAGAACAGGTTACGCATCAGGATCTAGTTTCAAACTCTTTTGAAAGGAATCAGTGGGTGTACGACGATCAGGCTTAGCAACTAAAGGTTGAGGAATAGTAGAATGATTATAACCTATATTCTTTAAATGCTTCAACATTGATGTTCATACAGTTGTGTATAGTAGTGATTGGATCATGTTGAACATCTGAACGTAGGTAGGTGTAACCAAGGAGTGCATTGATGATGCCACGGTTAGCCTTGTCAAGCTGTGTCAGCTTTGTTCGGCCTGTATCTGCACCACTCCCATCAGTGATGGGTGCGTCGTACTTCAGGTCTAGGAGATCCGTGTCTTTGAGCAACAGGAGGTCTCGGAAACAGAAGATACCGTCACGTTGAAGGGACTGCATGAGTGGTCCGTTCAAGGGCCGCTGCATGAGTGTATCAACAGCAAAATCAAGACTTGCAGGGGTGTTACCAGGTTTGATAGCGTTGGACGCTTTACCAATTGCATTGCCAACGGATGGAGTGGTTGTACTCGCAGGTTGGACGCTAGCAGTTGGAACAGTCGGAGAATCGTTGTTTCTCGGGCTGGTCGTAGTGCCATGTCGGGTGGTCGGCATGTCTGGTTTGTTGTTGTGGGCAGATGACGAAGGGGAAGAGTTCTCTCACGTGGTCAAAAACTCTAGGGACGATGCTTATCCCAAATTCTTTTAAAACAAAGGTCCGTCGAGTATTTCCCTGACAGAAAGGGCTCGAATGGGTTGACGTTCCAAACTAGTGGTGTCCCAACGGATTCACTAGTCCCAAGGATTGCGGTAAGGCTTTCCCGGTTTGCTTGAACGTCAGAAAGAGGTCAGGTCAGTTGTGAAGGTCCCACAAGTGGTGACAGGAGGTGCCCGTTTTTCTATGGACTTAGCTCCCGACCTTCTCGATCCGGTTATCCCCGTATTCGACAACCAGCAACGTGAATTGCGATCAGGAAAGCGGAGACTGGTCTTGCTGAGTTGGTAAAAGACCGGCTGCAGAAGACTGCAAGAAAGACCGGCTGCAGAAGAATGCAAGAGGCTGGATGAAAACCCCTCGACCTTTATACGGGTATAGGCGTCCCAGTGCTTCAAACAAATAACAAGTGCCCAGTTCAGATGGAAAACTGGTTGGTTGTTAGGTTGAAAAAGTTGAATGCAACACGTCGATAATCGCTGTGCACTCAGCGACTATCTGCCCCAAACGTGTTGTGATGGACCGCGGGAAACTGTACTCAACGGATGTACAGAATCCAGAACAAGTTTCAGTCGATAAAAAGAAATAGATCTATGCGCCGCTGCCTGCTTTTAGGGACAAGAACCACCTCGTTTAATTACAGTACAGCCGGGCAATGAACCTCACAAGCAGTCTTTGTGGTGGATTTCTCGACACCAGAAGCAACAGACAACAAGTGGGGGAAGCACGGGTTCGACAGATGCCCAGCGCTTTACACCTATCGGTTTCCAAGAGGGTTGGAATACCAATATATAGAACCACCACCAAGAATAAAATAAAATAAAACCGATACCCTTTTGTCGTTGGGTCTTCGCGTAATCGTCAACAGTGATGGGTATGGGGGCCCAATTTAGGTCAGTTGACTTTTTGACAAGGAAGCTATAAAACTTTTCAGATTGATGAACCAGAGAAAAGAGGAAAAGATCTGGTCTTCGAGTGTAGATGTTGGGGGGACAGGGCCAGATCGCAAGTGTGAGTGTTGCGATGGGCCGGAATTGCCAGTTGGGTGGCAAAGAGGGTGTGATGCTTCTGAGTGAAGCAGAGGGCGTTTTTCTGTGCAAAAAACGGCGGCAGTTAGCTGTTGGTGCGTAACTGCAACTGTTAATCTGACAAAATATTATTGAAGTGGGGAAAGCGCCTAGAATTACAGATGATAGTAAAAAAACAAATTCAAAGGTAAAACAAAACGGCACGATGAGTTGATCGGGAATTGGCGAATGCTGATGTTTGGATCTCTTCCGATGACTCGTCATTATATATTTTACTACTAACTATTATAAAACCATTGCTAGTCACAAATCACGAATCTCATTCCGGTTAAAATTCTGTCATGACACTCCAAAAAAAGTCCGGTGATTCTAGCTTGTGTAGTATTGGCTGATTGTAGTCAATTGTGGCTCAAAAGTTCCTTCTTGGTCATCCAGAAGCGACAGTATGCAGCAATCGGACGAGTTAGGGGTCTCCACTAGCACCCAAGCTCCCTTCCCATCATTTTTTTGTGACATGTTCATGCTACAGAATTGGTCCAGGAAGGGTAGCTTCCTGATTAGTATTTGGCTGATTGTAAAGGCTAGTGCTTCAAAAGTTCCTTCTTGGTCATGCCAAAGCGACAGTATGCGGCGATGGGACAAGTTAGGGGTCTCCACTACTACTAGCACCCAAGCTCCCTTCCCATCATTTTTTTGTGACATGTTCATGCCTCAGAATCGGTCCAGGAAGGGTAGCTTCCTGATTAGTATTTGGCTGATTGTAGTGGTTAGTGCTTCAAAAGTTCCTTCTTGGTCATGCCAAAGCGACAGTATGCGGCGATGGGACAAGTTAGGGGTCTCCACTAGCACCCAAGCTCACTTCCCATCAATCTTTTGTGACATGTTCATGCTTCAGAATCGGTCCAGGAAAGGTAGCTTCTGGATTTGTATTTGGCTGATTGTAAAGGCTAGTGCTTCAAAAGTGCCTTCTTGGTCATGCCAAAGCGACAGTATGCGGCGATGGGACAAGTTAGGGGTCTCCACTACTACTAGCACCCAAGCTCCCTTCCCATAAATGTTTTGTGACATGTTCATGCTTCAGAATCGGTCCAGGAAGGGTAGCTTCCTGATTAGTATTTGGCTGATTGTAGTGGCTAGTGCTTCAAAAGTTCCTTCTTGGTCATGCCAAAGCGACAGTATACGGCAATGGAAAATGTCAGGGGGATGATGTTCTCCAATGGGGGAAGGGCAGCTTCAAGCAAGATGCAACACAGACTCCAAAGAAAACCACGAGTGGCTTCGCCATGCAACTTTTAATCGTCGATTGAAGTGCTTTTTATTATTTTGGACGACAGGTTCAAATATTCGAGAGACAAACAAATGTGTCCTTGCGGTTGTTGGAACAGTCCAATTCCAAATGATTAAAGGTCACCCTCTCTTTGAAATAGGATAATTTACCACATATCTAATACAATTTTACTACTACTTGCTAGTCCTCAGACATCGGCCATTCTTCCTCCTGCTTCTTTGTTTCCTCCTCCTTTTTGGCCATTGCTACTTTCATACGTTGTTCATAGAGCAACAAGTTTTCTTCCTTTTTCTCTTTCTTTTCTTCCTTCTTCAACTTTGCCAGCTTCTTCATTCTTTTATCCTCCAGACAGTTGCGGTACTTTTGAAATCTAATTTCTTGTTGAATCCGCTCTCTGAATTTTCGTTTTTTGAATGGGTGGTATTCAACCCTAGTTTCTTGAAACTCCGATGCTGTGAGGCCAACATGATTTTTTTCTGTTTTGCCCTTGTCAAATAAAACTTGAGCTCGCCACGTGCGTTATGGGTGGGTTGTTGGGTGCTTGGCCAGGTCATCAGCCTAAATCAAATCTTCCTGTAACGGTTTGTCTCTTGCCTTGTCATGAGCATTGCGCAAGGTCGTCCATGGCAATGTCAGAATTTTTAGTAGAAATAACAGGTTGAGTGTAGTTTTTTTTTCATTAGCAGAATCAAGCACAGCAAACGCAACAGCACGAGCGTCGTTCACCACAGCATCGTTTGGCCCTCCCTTGGCTTGAAGTTCCGTTGCCAGCTGCGTCTCCGTGTTTGCTGACATGTCAACTTCCCGTTCATGCAGCAAATCAACGTATTCTTTCCAACCAAAACCCTTTCTTCTGACCTTGTCGGTGAGGAAGCGGCTGAAAGTCTCTCTCCTTTCACCTCCTGCCTCGCCGTAGAACTCGTTTTTGTCCCAATGATGTTGCGTGACAAGTTCTTTTATAGGGTTTGGATCTGGAAAAGTACAGGACTGTATCTTTTGGTGAAAGTAGTCGTTGGTCCGCCAGCTCGAATTTCCAGCAACGGTTTTGGAAAGGGGGAAGCTCGGCTCGGTGAGTAAAATCTCGCACATTTGAGTAAAATCTCACACGTTTGAGTAAAAACTCACACGTTTGAGTTCTAACTCACACGTTTGAGTTATAACTCAAACGTGTGAGTTATAACTCAAGGATTCCCTCGCAATGAGTTATAACTCCCAACTTCAGATTCCGTCTATTGATATGATTTGGAATTCGAAGTTTCTTAACGACCCTGCGACCATCAAATGACCCGTTGTTATTTACACAATTAGGATCAGAAAAGATCATGGATCACCAAACTCAGCAAGATTTGTGTTCATTTGGAAGAGATGAAGCACCCAGTAAGTGAAGAGGACCAATTCATTCACATCATTGGAAGTTTGCCTTTGAAGTACAGACAAGAGCAAAAGGACTTCGAGAAAATGATCGCTGATTGAATCATCAATTCAAGCCATACATTAATCAAATAGGAACAATTTCACTCAAAGTATACCTAACACAGGAGAACAATTGTCATGAAAGTGTTGCACAGCAGATTACAAATTTAGATTGCAGAGAGTTTGTTCTGAGCTCTAAAGGCACTCATGATAGAGCACATTCTGCTTATTTCTAACAGTCATGTGAGACGGATTTACTGTCTGAATTCTCTCTCTTTTGAGTGAATTCCATCTCTCACTCTTTTGTGGAGATCGTCACATCACGTCACATCATTAAAAGGATAGAATCTCTGTTTTATCTTACTGTCTGGCTATATCGGTCTCGGATCTATAGCATCCTTAACAGTATTCTACCTTGTCAGGTCAGGGCATCACGCCCTTTTCTGCCCTCTCCCTTCATTGTGCAGAATTGAAAAAGGCGTTCCAAAGCCAGCAAGCATGTCAGAACAAAGGGGGCAACACCAAGCAACCCCATATCTATACAGTCAGTGGTGTTGTGTTATTCAATTGCCGCCCTTTTCGAAGAAATTTTGACGATCAAATTGTTTGACACATCAAGTCGTTGCCTTGGTGAGACATCACAAGATCATGCCACTGTACCTTCTTCGCTTACTTTGGCATTCGAATGAATGAATCAGTCCGTCCTTCGCCAGCCAACACCTGAGGTCAATAGAGTCCAAATTTCTTCGTACGTTAGATGCGTACACGTACAAAGATGTGTATTACACGCGTGCACACTACACACGTGCGTGTACACTGTGTACCGGTACACTAGTACTACCGGTACAACTGGTATCGCAGCCAAAACAAACAATCCCATCTACCTACCGTCATCATCCACCAGCCTTTTTGTTTCCGAGCGACAGAGCATCATGACCTCTCCCCAAGGCAATAGTCTTGCAAATGTTGTTAATAATGAAATCACTGCATCAGATCATCCTCGTCACGAAAGTTATAATGAATACAAATCTAAAGCTCGTCAAGATGCTGTAACAACTGTGGAAAACTGGGACAAGCGCAAAGATGATTGGGAGAAGCTTTCGACTGATGATAAACCCTTAGAGAATGACGTAGTGAACTGTATACAGTCCACCCTCAGAATTAAGCTCCAAGAAGGCAATGCAGACCGACATGCTTTCATTGCGTTCATGGAAGAATCCAAACGGCAGTTCGACTTTTTCAATGATGAACAGAAAAAGGTTGATGCTGAAGAAGCTGCTTTGCAAAAAGAAATCAGCGAAGAACTGGCGAGTTCTAATATTGCTAGTCATGCCACAGTTTCTGGCATTGACGGGGCAGGTCAAAAGCGCAAGCTAGACAAAACCATGGAGCAATACAAAGACGACAGCTTCGTTATGGAGCTTTTCAAGGCAAAGGTGGAAGCGGAGCAGAAGAGCCTGATAGACAGACAAGGGAGCCTGAAAGACCGACAAGGGAAGCTGAAAGCGCAGAGGGAGAAGCTCATCGTCGTAGTGCAAAACCGGATCAATGACATTGGTTCACGTCATGAAAAGGCTCAGGGAAAACTCGATCATCATGCCTCGTTTGGCAATGAAACGACAGTTAAATCTCACCCAACCCTAGAGAATAATGCACAAAAGAACTCTCGCTCGGCTAAACAAGTCCCAGAAAAACCTTCTATCAGTGAAGTGGAAGTGAAGGACTTTCTGAGCATATTGACGGTGGAAAAGAAAGATCGGTACTTGGAAAAATTGGAGGTTCTAGCCGATAATCTTGTTGGACTGATTAGTTTGGAGGCACCGTGCACTGGCGCTGGTCGTGATTGCGACGCCAGAGAAGTGAAGGAGATAGTAGCAAAGATCCTTGATCCTGGGTTTCTCGAATCAGCTTCCCCACCGTGCGAGAAGAAGCTCGTCGTCCGAGATTGGAACGAGACTGCTGCTGCACAGCCCATAGTCCATGCCATCATCTATCGATTGCTCGGCATTGTAAATCTTCGTCACCTTCATGTGTCCAAGGAACAGAAAACAAGAGGCAAAAATGTTACCGAGAAGGACCGAGTCATGGATTTTTTGGTCCATGAAATCCGTGAGCACGTTTTTCATGCCTTTCCAAGCATGATTGAAGGTATAGTTGAAGTGAAGAGGTGTGAACGCAATCCCGAAAAGGATGACGAACAAATTAATCGCGCAGCAAATCAAGTGGTCGGAAACTTTGCGAAGAGGTTGCGAGGGGAGCTCAATTTTCTAGGTATTGGTGTGGATTGCGACCTGTATGGAGTTGCTGTATCTTTGTCCAAGATATCGGCAGTCAAAGCATCGCTGGGGGGTGTGGGAACGAAAGAAGTTAGCGTCTTATTTACCAAGTCCAAGCCTATTGAGTTCTTATCTCAAGATGGTCTTCAGCTTCTGGCGTGTGCATTGAGGGCCAGTTTTAATCTGACAGGAGTGAAGTGTGCCGATGCCACACTAGAAGCAAAACTAAAGTTACCTTCGTACGGAGGTGAGGATGAAATGACAAAAATATCGATTGGCCAGCTTTTGGGTTCCGGAGCCTTTGGGATTGTGTACCCAGTTCAGCAAATCAAATCTTCGTGCCATGATAATTCTGAAGATCCGAAGAAGTATTTTATAAAGATTCCAATATCCCACCTGGCATTGAGTTCGCTTGAGGATGAGGCAAAAACCTTGGATAAACTGAACAAAGAGAAGACTGGAAGAAGTAAAGTTCCCAACATTCCACGTTGCGAAGCGAAGTGCACCTTCGATTTTGCTTTGAATGGCTTTCAGGGTAAAACGTATGGCCTTCTTCTCAATGGTATAATTGGTAAGGCTGCCAATACTTTGGATTGGAATGGGACATGCAACAAGCAGCACCTACCCTCTGTCATGGAAAAGGTGTACAACACTCTCGAGGCTGCACACAACCGATGTGTATATCATCTGGATGTACGCCCTGGGAACATTATTGTGTCTGACAAGCATACCTCCCATGGCAAGTCGTCTACCGCTAGGGATGTGGACATATTGGTGATTGATTGGGGTGTGGCACTCAATGGTGATGAAGATTTCTCGTTTCGCGGCTGCGTCCCATACGCTCATGATGAGCTACTCGCGATTGATAGAACACCAGCCAAACCAAAAGAGGTTTATGACTGGGCTTCACTATTGTACACATACTACCACTTGCATGAGGGTGATTTACCATGGAATCTCTTGATGGAGCATGGGAAGCGAGTTTGTGATACCGGGATGAGAAAGAACGTAGTTTCAAAATGGTGGTGGGAGCAAAAGCAGGAAGATGAAAAAGAAAAGCGCTGTTTTGTTGAAGCGTTTGCGAAAGTTCTTCCTGAAGAAAAGATTGCTTAAAAGGTAGTGGCAGAACCAATGTGTCAGTAAAAGCTAAGCTAGATAGGGGCCACCGCAGACCTTGTGGTTTTGATCAAGCAGTGGGAGAAGGATGGATGCGTGGTACTCGTCAGGCTGGACGCTAATGAAAATTTTTATTGTTTCACACCGATCCCTCTTGTCGGATGCGTGATGACTGTCTGACAGATCACCATCATGCTTGTTCGTATCCTGCAACAATAGCAATGATGTCCATAAATGCCTCATCAATTAGCTACATAGTGCGCATTTTGGAGAGCCGGAACCCCCCAACTTTCTTTTAGAAAAGCAATATCCATCAAGCTTTTCTGGCTCTGCAGGAACAGAGCCTGCGGCTAGAGGGATATTGCAATACACACAGTAGGCAAGGATAAATGCTCTTATTTCCCACTTAAAAGAAGTGTCTATTGTACCGGCAGCATATGGTTCGTATGATTATTTATTCCCTCTACTCGTAGTAGGCAACCACAATCAACAACTATCTGAAAAGTATCTTTTTATGATTTCGGCCTACAAGTCGGATGGCGGACTGACTACTACATGTGCATTACGTCAATATGCTGGGCTTGAATCGCATGATGTAGTCTTTGTCTGGGACATGCCAAAAAAACCTGTCATTGATTAGCTTAGTCAAAAATGGCACTCCTTCCAGAAGGAGAAAAGCAAGGCACTGTCCTTTGGTCGTGAAGACAGCAAAAAAGTCTGTCAATGATCATGATAATAATCCCTTCAGTATTACTAAACAAGTTTCATGATCATCGACAGAGTTTTTTTCTATTTTCACAATCACCGACAGACTTGTCGTGTCTTCACGATCATCGACAGGGAACTTTCAATCTTTGCGCTGCCTCAATATGTCGTTTTGGTCACCGCTTTTGTTGTCAAACGATGGTTCTGCCATGTAACAGCACACACAACTAACTATACAACATTAAATACCGCGTTAAGGTCGTGGTAACAATCCTTTTACTAAGGTAATGTACGCATCTTCTGTGAGATACGTCATTCTGATCAGAGACTCTTCCAGAGAAAAAGAAAGTAGAGTAGGCTCCGACATCCACTCCAGAGCCGCAGGACAACAGGCGCAGCACAACTTGGTCTTATTTGTCACACAACAGGTCCACGGCTACATAGTCAAAAGGTTGACACCCCGTTTCAGATTCGATGGATCTCACAACCTCTCGCCTGGCCAGCAAACTGTAACCTATCATGAAGCATCATTGCTTCGCAGCTCTCCTTCATAGGAGGCCACTCGTTTTCCGCGACTGTTTGGAATCATGACCTGCAAGTGTTTGAATTTTACCTATCCCCACCCCTTTCTTTTTCGTAAAAGACCCTATAGAGCCAGCTGTCGACCAATATAATTATTCCCATTACACTTGAAAGCCTCTCCAAGACTGCCCAGACGGCAGATGTAAAGAATTGTTGCCAAAGTGCTGCCAATGGCATATGCACCCTTCAAAGATTCTGATGATTCGAAGAAACAAAATGATGTGTATTGTAGTAGTTCGGGGGAACCGTCAACAAGATTTTCTCCATTCTGCAAACTCAACATGTACAGATACTTTGGGACTTGTAGTGGTGCCCGTTCATCAACAAATCCATGGATCAAACCAAAAGCCTTCCATGTGAAATGAATAATCTTTTTCAACTCGGAGCAGACGGGTTCGATCTTGTTTCTCACCGTGAAAATGCTTTCATACTCAGTATAGACACAAAGTGAAAGCATCTCATGGCGAACACTCCTGGGCAACATGGCAACCATCCTTGCTGAATACTGGCGCATCCATTGGTCTGCCCCTGAAATAAACGCCATTGGGGAATCCGGACCCTCGCGCACACTTTCTATTCCAGCCTGAACAAAGGTTGCTGGTGATTTTGATCCAATTGTTGAAACAAGGAGTGGTAGCAAAATCTTGACCAGACAGCTGGGCGACTTCATCTTGTCAACCAGTTCATTCTTTAGAGCAGCATGATTAGTGCCAAGACACAATAAAATAGCGTCGTCTGGCAATTGATCTTGAACCAACCCATCTACTGCACTCTCCTGTACAACTCTATCCACATAAATACTGCCCCCACTTATTCCGGACTCCAACTGACTTGCACCTGGCATTGGACCTATGTAGTGCAGCATGTGATATGCCATGCACCCCCGCTCAAAATTCACCCTTTCATGCCTGCATTTTGTAGAATTGTTCCTTTTGAAGTGTTTGGAGAACGAGCATTTTGTAGAATTGTTCCTTTTGAAGTGTTTGGAGAACTAGTCTCTTTTCAGATATAGTCGCCCACATGGAACACAAATAAAAGCCCTCATCAGTTTGGGTTCGGCATCATATTTGAATTTTATGTCGTCCCTTGTGACTCCCTTCAACTTTGCAACAGGACAGCTATTTGCTAGATGACATGCGAAATAGCTGTTCAAAACCTGTTTCCCACAGAAGCACAAGCATCCACTTGGAGATGATAGAACAGTTAGGTTGGGCGCCAAAAAAGGATCATTGTCCTCTTTGCCCTCTGTGGATACAGCAAAATCCAAGTCCATCAACAATGATTGCAAATCTTTTTGTTGTTGCGATATGGCTGCTTCCGCGGAAACTTGTTCGTTTCATGCTCACGTAGGCCAGGCATACGTCCACCGCTATTTATTAGCACGGCCCTGTTCAGCCCAGTCTTGCACACGCGCAGGACCAGCATACTTCCACTGACATTTAGCACGACCCCCTGTCCTATTGCTAGGTAATGTTTGTGGAATTAGAGGGGAATCGGCCTGTCAGGCGCGCGGGAGAGTCGGCCACTCCCGCTCTGGAAAACATGTAATTTCGCAAGATTGATGTAACTTCACTGGTGACGAGAAGTTCGGGAGCGAGGGCGGAAACAAGGGAAGAAACAAGGCGCACCCTCGCTCCCTTTTTACGAAACCCAACCAAACGATGCGCACAATCTGCGCGAAAAAGGTCGAAAACGAGGGAACGAGTGGATAAACGAGGGTAATCGGTACCAATCCTGGCGCAAACAAGGGAGCCCTGGCGCAAACAAGGGAGCCCTCCC